ACCTGAGTTTTCTTATAGGTAAAATGGAGATAATATAATACATATCTTTCTCATAGAGCAGCTATAAGGATATTACCTAACTCATGTCTGGGATTCAATAAATGTTAGCTCTCATTATTACTCCTCTTAATTTCTAAGAAACACACCAAAGCTGTCATTCTTTCCTCAAGCCCCTTGCTTATCTCCACTGCTTTTTTTTCTCTGCATTTGATCATGCTTTCCACTACATATGAAAAATACAAGTTATTATTTTTATTATAATGAGGCTAGGAATCACCTTCACCTTCTCAATCCCCTTTTCTTCATGTGTACACAATCTTTCTCTCCTCATCCACCTTTGGAAGGCGCCCTTTTCTTCTTTCGATGTGAAGCTACATGTGCCTGGATTCTGCCTCTTGGGGCTCCATATATTAGCCCCACTATTTCCTTGGTTCACCTTTTCTTTCTCTACCAGCTCTTTCCCCTTAATATATGAAAAGTTCCTTTCTCTTATTAAAAATAAACGGAAAACAAAACTCTCAATCTCTCTTAACCACAGTAGCTACAGTCCTAACTTTCTCCTTCTTTTCTTAGCCAAGCTCCTACATTTTTTGCCAACTTAAAATTTATTTATATGAAAAGGAAACATCTCATGGATTAAAATTCAAAAAGGCATGCATACAGTAAAACTTCTCCTTTAGTCCAGGCGTGGTGGCTCACGCCTGTAATCCTAGCACTCTGGGAGGCCGAGGCGGGCGGATTGCTCGAGGTCAGGAGTTCGAAACCAGCCTGAGCAAGAGCAAGACCCCGTCTCTACTATAAATAGAAATAAATTAATTGGCCAACTAATATATATAGAAAAAATTAGCCGGGCATGGTGGCACATGCCCAGCTGTAGTCTGTAGTCCCAGCTACTTGAGAGGCTGAGGCAGGAGGATTCGCTTGAGCCCAGGAGTTTGAGGTTACTGTGAGCTAGGCTGACGCCATGGCACTCACTCTAGCCTGGGCAACAAAGCGAGACTCTGTCTCACAAAACAAAACAAAACAAAACAAAACAAAACAAAACAAAACACTTCTCCTGTCTACTCCCAATTCTCAAGTACACAGTTCCCCTTTTCTGAGCAAACAGTTTTTTGTGGTCTTTTTTTAGAGCTAAGTCTATGCATATACAAGCAAATGTGTACATTTTCTTTTTTACAAAAATGTTAGCATATTATAAATGCTCTTCTGATTGTTGCTTTTATCATTTAAAATATATCTTGCAGGTCTTTTCATGTCAGTACATAAACAATTTATTCTCCCATTGCTCATGTCTTCAGAAAAACAGATGCCAAGACAGGATTAGACACTCAAGAGATTTATTGGAGGAGATGCTTGTGAGGAAAAAAAGGGGAGGAAGCTGGAGGAGCCATCAGGCTGTGATGCAGGTCTTGTTGGGAAAATATGATTGAGGAATTAGTGAAATGTGGCTCATAAGACCATTATTTTATTGTATAACCCAATATTACTATATTAAAGACAGAAACAGGAGTTTGCAGGGTTTTGCCCTAAAGGAATGTGTAGTCTCAATGGTTCACTTATTAGAGGCTGATCATGGGAGAGCTCTCAAATCTCCAGTGGGGATGTTTTTAGGAAGGCTTCCCGGTATCTCAAAATCTGTGATCTTCCTTGTGTCTTGAAAGACAAGACAAGGCAAATATGGCCCACAGGATGGGGAGACAATAAATGCACTTTGCCCAGAGATGTGTCCTGGTGGATATAAACAACCCATTTTTTTTTTTTTTTTTTTTTTGAGACAGAGTCTCGCTTTGTTGCCCAGGCTAGAGTGAGTACCCATGCGCTCAGCCTAGCTCACAGCAACCTTAAATCCTGGGCTCAAGCAATCCTGCTGCCTCAGCCTCCGCGAGTAGCTGGGACTACAGGCATGTGCCACCATGCCCGGCTAATTTTTTCTATATATATGTTAGTTGGCCAATTAATTTCTTTCTATTTATAGTAGAGACAGGGTCTCACTCTTGCTCAGGCTGGTTTTGAACTCCTGACCTCAAGCAATCCACCCGCTTCGGCCTCCCAGAGTGCTAGGATTATAGTCGTGAGCCACCGCGCCCGATCTAAACAACCTATTTTATTAGAGATGGGCTTCTTGCTCTCTCCTGTCTGTCTACCTTTAAGTCCACCATAACTAATCAAAGAAATATTGAGTCACTAGACCTCTTTTGTTTTACCTTTGTTAATTGACAACTACCTCTTTAGAAGTTAGCCCCTGAAAGACTTTGTAGCTGTTTGTTCACTTGGATAGATTAAAAGCCCCTTGAGAGGACTTTTGACCCTAACCCACTACCTGTATCCTTTAGCAACTGCATTCCCTAATATGCAAATATGTTACCCTGACAACTGGTAATTGATGTCTGTGATTATAAAAACCTGTATGAATCTAATCATATTGCTGGCAGTTATGGAGATCTGCCAGTCCCCTAGGAACTTCCTGCTGTGTTATATCTGATCTTTATATATATATATATATAACTATAAACTATACCTTAGTCTCTGTGTATTCTTTTATTTCTTTCTGTTGCCTATCAATTTCCTTATCCTCTGTGGCAACCCCTATCTTAGAGACCTGGCTCCGTGGGGAGAAGTAGCTAATCTCCTTGTGGGCCTGCCTCAATTACTCTCGCCCCACAAGGTCTGACCTCTGTGAAGAGGAGAGGGAAGGAAGGAGGGTTGGGTAGGCAGTGACTTGGACTGCAACACAGTTCTAAGAAAGTTTTAGCCAGGCTGATGGAGAGCCCTCAAGCAAAGCCACTCATTAGAGGAATCCTGCTTCCTGTGGGAATGGGTCTGCCTTACTATCCTTGCTATGCTCAGTCATGGGCTGTGAATAGCTCATGGGAAGTGTGGACTAGGTGCAAATGCTGTAGGTTCAGAGCTCAGCAGCTGGGGCTTCCCTGCAGACGGAGATCTGAGAGGAATATTTTCACAGCCTTTACATTATTCTTAGTGTTGCATAATTATTTATTGATGGAAGTGCTATACTTTACCTAGTCCCTTCCCCATGAACATTTATGTTGTTTCTAGTCTATTCTTACTATAAACAATGCTCAATGAATGACCTTGTTTTATATCATCATGCACATCGGGGGGAGTATCACAAGTTGGGCTCCTGGAGAAGCAGACTATGAGATAGAGAATAACAGATTACTTTATTAGGGAGTGTACTTGGGTTCTATATCTGTGGAAGGGAAAGAAAGCAAGCAAGATTGGGGAGACTAAGCAGTTGGTCTGCAATGCATTCTTAGTGATGGCCTCAAGTAACCCCACAGGGAGTTCTGAAGATAGGATGACCTGTTAGAATCATCCTAAAGTGGGGTGAGAGATTTAGGCTTTTTATGCCCCCTGCATGATCAGTCATTGGAGATAGGTTGTTCTGGGAAAATGGCACAACCTTTAGGTGAGGTGACTCTTCAGCAAAGGCAATTCCTCAAGAGGGCTGCACTTTTGCTCAGGCTGGTTTCAAACTCCTGATCTTGAGCAATCCACTCACCTCAGCCTCCCAGAGAGCTAGGATTACAGGCACGAGTCACCACACCAGGCCCGCAATAGCTTCTTTATTTTTTATTTATTTATTTTTTTTTTTGAGACAGAGTCTCGCTTTGTTGCCCAGGCTAGAGTGAGTGCCGTGGCGTCAGCCTAGCTCACAGCAACCTCAAACTCCTGGGCTTGAGTGATCCTTTTGCCTCAGCCTCCAGGGTAGCTGGGACTACAGGCATGCGCCACCATGCCCGGCTAATTTTTTTATATATATATCAGTTGGCCAATTAATTTCTTTCTATTTATAGTAGAGACGGGGTCTCGCTCTTGCTCAGGCTGGTTTTGAACTCCTGACCTTGAGCAATCCGCCCGCCTCGGCCTCCCAAGAGCTAGGATTACAGGCGTGAGCCACAGCGCCCGGCCGAATAGCTTCTTTATTATCTTCTTTCTCACCTTCTTCCAATCTATGCTGAACACTTTTGTCAGAAGGATGTTTTGAGTACACAAGACTTATAGGCCAGGACTGGTGGCTCACGCCTGTGATCCTAGCACTTTGGGAGGCTAAGGCAGGAGGACTGCTTGAGGCCAGGAATTTGAGACCAGTCTGAGCAAGAGGGAGACTCTGTCTCTACAAAAAATAGGTACACTAGCCAGGAGTGGTGGTGCATGCCTATAGTCCCAGCTACTCGAGAGGCTGAGGAAGGAGGATGGCTTGAACCCGGGAGTTTGAGGTTGCAGTGAGCTATGCAAGAGTCACTATGCTAGAGTCACTGCACTCTTAGCCAGGGCAACTGAGCAAGTCCCTGAGTCAAAAAAAAAAAAAAACCCGACATAAATTAAATAAATAAATAAATGGACTGATTATAGTTCTCCTTAGCTTAAAGGTTTTTAATGACTTCCTATTGCCTACAGAATAATGAAATCTAACACCTCTGCTCAACATATATAGCTCTTCATAATTTGACTTCTGCTTGTCTGTCCAGTCTCCTCTGGACTGGATAACATTCCCTTTTCCTACCTTGATCTTTAATATTCAAACTAATTGCATCCCTCAGAATATATCATGTTCTCTCATAATATATGTACATGCTGTTTTGTCTGACATAATTCTGTGTCTTCTACTCCTCCACTTGTCCTTCGAATAAGGTCCTACTCATTCTCTAAATTTTGGCTCAAACCCACCTAGTTCATAAAGCCTACTCTAATTTCCCTAGAACTCTGCCTATTCTACCATTGCTCTTTGTACTCATGCAGTATATTTTTTATTTGCTTGTATGTTTATTTCTTAAGTAGTTTTAGTTTCCAGGTGGAAAATGACCAATTTTTGTCTGGTATTTCCAGTACTTACTGTAGTGCCTGGCAATAAAAGCAACTCAGATTCTTCTAGATTGAAGATACCTTCTGAGTCTGAGGAAGTTTTCTAGGAGACGGTGTCATAGTAAATAACAATCCTTCCCCTTTCCTCCCCTCTAGTTTTCCAAGTTTCTTTCAAAACCTGGCAGGTGGTTCACTAACTTTCCTTATCTACCACTGCAGATAGAATTGACCACTCCTTTCTTTGTGCTTCTGCTGAATGTGTTATGTAAGTCCTATCCTAGCACCAATCATGTTTAAGTTTGTATCCCAAGCATCTGAGACGTTAGGCACTCTATTCATTGTAGGGGAGGAAAAAATGGCTTCCCTCTACTCTTCCAGGTTCTTTGGCTGGTCTATAAATTAAATTGCCATAAATCAGATTAACAGGAGAAAAGTAGTTTTAATTAGGTATATATGCTTGGGACTCTCACAAAATGCGAGACTCAAAGAAGGGGCAGATGATAGCATAGCATCCTGACCTACACAAAGAAATGGGCTAGGAGAGATGGTCCCAGCTGTAGCAGCTGTAGGCTGAGGTGGGAGGATCATTGAGTCCAAGAGTTCAAGGCTAGCCTGGGCAACATAGTGAGAACCTGTCAGTTGAAAAAGACAAAAAACAAAACAAAACAAAAAAATTGGAGCTTAGGGCTTCTTGGGCATGGTGGAGACAAATTAAGGGAAGTTTGGGAGTAGAACTATAACATGACTAAAGGTTGCCTTGTTATGCAGACAAGTCTCTCAGGTGATAGAAGCTGACTAGAAGCAGCTCTCTTCTGTACTAAGGACATCACATTAATGAAATTTTCGTTTATAGATGTAAATTCCTCTTTACAAAAGGGGAGTTTTATCCTTTCTTTTAGGCCGTAGAGGGGGAGGTGAAGCACTTCCTGTGTGGCTGGTTCTCAATTTATTTTAGCTTAAAGTTATCAATATGTCAGAGTGTCACATTTTGGGGTGTCATATTCTGGATTCCTGCAGCCATATTTTGTCCTGAGCCCCAGCACCATAATGAACCAGTCCCTTTAAGAAAGGGACTTTCTTAAACATTCTAGGGGAATCTCATCATTATACATAAACTGTAAAAAATCCTTTACAATCCAACCCAAACGATTGTTTCTAAAATGATGCATCCTCCAGGCACTTTAATTGTCCTTAGACAGATGGCCAAAGCTTGGCTACCGGAACAGCATATGCTAGGAGAAAGCTGACGAGCGCCAAGCAAAGGATGATTGGCTGCCGGGGCTGAGAAGTTACATGTTCTCCTCAGACCAACGCAGGAACTAAAAAACCGCTGAACGTTCAGGTTTTGAAATACGGTTTTTGCATCCTAAAGAAAAAAGATTAACCTATCAGGAAGAACCGAGCACATCCAATTACCAATCAAGAGCGGGAAAGAAGCCAAAGCCTGGGGATACCCAGGCACCGATGAGGACGTCATTCCCTAGTCCCCGCCAATGAGCGGCTGGACGGGGGGCGGGGCAATAGGCGGACTAATTGCCTTAGAAAACAAACAACGATCTGCAGTACAACTGTACTAAGCACAGTCCTAGCAGCTGGAGCTAACTCCTGAGCATGGCGCTGACTGCATGCTTTCCACTCTCCTTCTCGTCTGGGGCTAGCCACAGTGGAGCATCCTTTATCTACCAGAGCAGGGGCCTCCTTTCCACTACGTCCCACAGAATCGCAGACAGCACACTGTAACTTTGCGCTTTCTACCTTCCCAGGAGCTGGGAGTCGGTTGCTACCTGAGGGGTGCGGCCCAAGTGCGCAGGCGTACATGCCTTTCGGGGGCGAGGCCGTGGCGGCCCGAGGTAACCTGGGAGCTGTATTTCCTACGCGGCCCAAGCAGCCGCGGCTTCTCAGGCCTTCGGGACTACATTTCCCAGGAGCCTCCGCGACACGGGGCGGGCGGGCTGGCTAGTTAATGAGCTCGAGGAAGCTGCGGTGCGGCCCACCAGGTTCCAAAACAAGGAAATGAAGGGGGGAGGCGGGACTGGGGGTGTCTGCGGGAGCCGCCGCCGCCGCGGAGGAGGAGGAGGTGGAGGAGGTGGCTGCCGCGGCCGCCGAGGAGTCCCTTGCTGAAGGCGGACCGCGGAGCGGCGGGCGGCGCGCGCGCGCCCGAGAGGCGGCTGTTAGAGAAGTGGAGCGGCGGCCGCGGGGGGAGGAGGAGGAGGGACTGAGCGGCGGCGGCCCCCGCGTCCCGGTGCCTCTATGGGGGAAGCAGACAATGGATTATGATTTCAAGGCGAAGCTGGCGGCGGAGCGGGAGCGGGTGGAGGATTTGTTTGAGTACGAAGGGTGCAAAGTGGGACGCGGCACCTACGGGCACGTCTACAAGGCGAGGCGGAAAGATGGGTAAGAGCAGGGGCGGGGGGAGTAGGCTCGCTCCGGTTCTCGCCCTCCCCGCGACTCGGCGGGATGGGTGGGTCGGAGCCCCGCGGGCCGTACCTGAGGGGCGAGGCGGAGGTGGTCGTGGGGCTGCGTCCCGAGGCGGACTCGAGGGATTCCCATCCTGCCCGCCCCCCCGCGAGGCCCCGTCGCGCCCCTCGAACTCCCGCGGCGGAGCCCGGTCGGGGGCGTCGGTTCGGTCCGGAGGGCGGGCGCCCTCGGCGTGCGTGGAGCTGGTGGCGGGACTCGAGTTGGGACCTCGGTCGGAGGTTGCGTGTGTGGGGTCTGGTGTCTCGGGGGAGCGCAGAGGGCTGGGAGAGCTGCGCGGATGAGTTGCCGCTCTGGCCCTGGGCTGGTGACGGTTGTTGTGGAACTTCCAATCGGCCGAGCGCCTCCCGAGGGCGGCGGTTTGAAACCTCGCCGGGTAGCCCGTCGGGCGGACGAGCGCCGGGGTCCTCGCCAGCCCCGAGAGTCTGACCCGTTGGGCACCGCTGCCCCTAGCCACGACCCCAGTGCCTGCGGCCAGCCTGCCTGTTGGCCCCTCAGCACAGTCTATCCCGTCCCTGTCATATACCTGGCGACTTCTGGACCCCTCTCTGCACCCACCCCGGATTTCTCATTGTCACATTCTGAATTCTGTACCTTCCCCCTGGAAGGGGACCTCCTGACAGGCTGCGTTTTGCAAGCGACAACTTAAGAGTTCGCTCAGTTCTTTGGTACCTACCTCCCCCACCCCCTTGTGTATCTGGAGTATTATGCCCTCCACGCCATCCTCTGCCAAATGACTGCGTGGTGGGGCTTATCGAGCACCTAGATTATCAAGAATGGAATATGGAGTGACATAGAGCTGGGCCTGAACCTTTGTTTTTCTTGGAGTTAAGGGAGTACTGTAGGAACCCCTTGGGAATCCTCTACCGATTGTTCTCTTAGGATAAGAGGAGCTGGATAATGTATTGAGAGAGCCTCTCCTTCCTCCTGGAGGGCAGATGAGCTCGTACAGCAGGACAGGTGGAACCAGCTCCCTGCCTGCGATGGGTAGGTTTAAACCATTCATCACTTCTTGTCCCATCCGGGCAGGAATTACCCTCCCCCAAGGTTAGGGAGCCTAGGAATGTTGGGGAGCCTGCCCATCGTAGACTGTAAAGACGGTCAATCTATACGGAGAGACTTTTTAGGATTGTAACGGGACATTTCTTAATAAACTAATTATCAGCCACCAGTGACGTTAGTAAGATTTTAAGAGTTGCTACTCTTTCTGCACGCTGTTGTAATTTGCTGTGGTTTTTGAACTCCAGTACCAAAATAGGTAGGGTGTGTGCGCGCTAATTTTATACAAGGAACAACAAAGTACAACTTTATAAAGTGTTTTATCATAAAGTATTGTGAAAATAAAGTTCTATCCAGGTGTAAATCATTATTACTGTAGATGATTTTTTCTCTTGTAATAACTGAACAAACCCCATGGTACTCAGTTGTCATCATTCTTTTAGTTAATTACCAGGTGTTCTTGAATGCGTATCATGGAATGTGAAGTACTATAATTAACTTATATTTTAGTTTGGAATATCCACTCTACCTGTTATACTGTGTTCCTGTGGAACTCTCATCAGGTATATTTGGGGGAAGCACATCCAGTTTTCCTATTTGGACATGGTTGTTACAGAATAAATCTGAGTCTCCCCCCAATACTCTTATGCTAACATTGTAATATACTTTGTCCAGAATTTTAAATATGTATTCTGATTTTTTTTGTAGTTGTTAAAATAGCTTTCTTTTATCAGGTAACTTTTGAGAAGTTAAAAATTCTGCTTCTGAATTGTATTTGAATAGCTCAGGTTTACAACAAAAAACAGATAATCGCTTCTATTCTTTTTAAATATTTTCGCCCATAATAAAATTTTTGGTTTGAATGTACTTCCTTCTTGAGTGAAATTTGTAAATTCGAATTAATAAAGCTTCTTTAATAGAGTAAGATCAGCTTGTGTATCTTCAAATTATAATGCTCTTTTTGTTTTTTAAACTTTTAGGATCTGAAAGCATTAGTTCCAATCACTATAGTACATGTAAGAAAAACCCTAATAAAGGTTTTTTGCTTGGACCAAAGTTTTGTTTGAGATTTACGGCTTTACAGTAAAAACTCACATCTTTTTTAATTTTTATTTTTAAAAATTTACTTATTTATTTCTTAGAAACAGGGTCTTTCTCTGTTTCCCAGGCTGGAGTGCAGTGGCATATCATAGCTCACTGCAGCCTCAAATTCCTGACACATCTTTTTTTTTTTTTTTGAGACAGAGTCTCGCTTTGTTGCCCAGGCTAGAGTGAGTGCCATGGCGTCAGCCTAGCTCACAGCAACCTCAAACTCCTGGGCTCGAGTGATCCTTCTGCCTCAGCCTCCCTGGTAGCTGGGACTACAGGCATGCGCCACCATGCCCGGCTAATTTTTTATATATATCAGTTGGCCAATTAATTTCTTTCTATTTATAGTAGAGACGGGGGTCTCGCTCTTGCTCAGGCTGGTTTTGAACTCCTGATCTTGAGCAATCCGCCCGCCTCGGCCTCCCAAGAGCTAGGATTACAGGCGTGAGCCACAGCGCCCGGCCTCCTGACACATCTTTTGTGGGTGGGTAGTGGGATTAGTTTTATGTCCATTGATACCAGCAATTTGAAAGAACAAAAAGTTTTTAGTGATGGTTCTAAACTGTGATCCAGATTTGCATAGTAAAGGATTTTACACTCTGATCATGGTAAATTAGTTTAGCTCTTTGCAGATTTTATTTTTGGGTAACTCAGAAAAATATACTATTTTAGGGAGCAGGAGGGAAATCACATAGGTATGTTAAAGATAAATTATTCTGGTGTACGTAATGTAGTATATAACCCAAAAATTGTTCAGGTCTTTAGAGGAAACATTGAAAAAAGTAACAACATAAAATATCATTAGAAAAGCCTCTGCTCACAGAGGCTTTTTAGTTTAATACTATAGTTTATAAAACCTGAGAATGTTATTTCCCTTGAAATATGACTTTAGGCTGTACATTACATAAATTTGTAACAGGCTGATTTACATCTTGAGTTTTTCACCTTTCATAGAGGTGTTTTGTTCACCTTTTTGTGTTGAAGGAAAAGAGGCTTTTGACCCAACTATCTTTAAAAAAAAAAAAAAAATCAGGCTCAGAAATGAGAAGGCCAAAGTGGGGGAGGGAGAAGAATAAAAAAAAAATCAGGCTTAAAGTTAATCTTGAGGAATAACAAGTTAAAAATATTTCTAAACTTTTTAGTATGAGCAAGAATTGTAAAAGGTTTTCTTTATTATTAAAAAGTCATGCATACATGGTTACAAATCTCAGGACTACATTTCTTCTGTTGAAGACATTTTTTATTTTGATTGATAAAGGAATATTAAAAAGTTCTTTTGTCAACAGAGGTTCCGACGAACATGATTCCATAGCATATATTATGTCTGAAAACTTGTACCCAACAATACTACCATTCAACTTTGCAGACATTTAGTCTCTTGAATCACTCCAATAAAAGAATGCTCTTTGGATACGTGTTTTTGAAAAATACTTAGTAATGGAAGTGAAATGGCTGACAGACAACTTACGGAGTTCCCAGTTTTGTCAGGGTTTCAGATGAGTAGTTGTTGACTACATAGCTTAATGTATGTTATGAAATTCTTCACAAATGTAGTAAGTACATGTAGATACATATAGGTAAATAATAGACCCAATAGTATCTGCCTGTGTTTGATGGGTTTTTCACAATTGGTTTATAGTTAAAATAGATGATCAAATTTGCATTTTTATTGGAGACCTCCAGAAGATTAGAGAGGTATCAGTTTGATCATAGTGTAATAGAACTTTTAAGAGTTTTAGATCATCTAGTTCAACTTCCTCTTTTTACAAATGAGAAACCCAGAGCTTTGAGAGGTTGTCATGCCTATAGTCTCACAGCAAAGATGAAGCCTGTAATCCAGATCTAACTCTGAATTTTTGCATTTTCCAGTATGTTTTCCTTCCTGATGCCATAGGAGGAAAACCAGAAAAGGCCATGTTACCTTCAGTCTTATTGTATAAACTTCTTCCATGCAAAACATACATTTATACCAAAAAATATGGAAAAGGGAAAATATATAAGGGGCATTTAAAAAAAATAGGAGTGTAGGCTTGCATATTCTACCACATGTAGCTGCTTTTTTCATTTTGTTTCTCTTCATCCTCTGTGTCACCACTCTTGGCCATTATCTCTGATTTGGACAGTGGCTGATTTGGTCTTGGCTATTAACCTTTTCTTATTCTAGTTTAAAATCCAAATTGCTACTAGTGTCATTTTCCTATAAAAATCAGTCATGTCATATTTCTTTTTGGAAAACTGTGCATTCATTGTGGCTTATATGATCAGATCCAATCTTAATTCCTTAGTTTGGCATGTAAAGACATTTGCATTTGGATCCTGAAATCTATAGCCTTTACACCTACCACCAATTCCATCCTTTTTTCCAACGTATTCAAGCTATATACTTCTCTAGCATTTGAACTGCTTATGCTCTCTGGGACTTACCAAGTCCATTTATGTCTCAATTTTCTTTTCTACATTCAAACTAGAATGGTGTTGGTCTCTTATTCCTCCCTCCCCCTTTCCCTTACCCCTACAAACCTAGCAAACTCCTGCTTATACTTCAATACCCAATTCAAAAAGCTTTCTTCTTAGAAGCTTTATTCACTTAGTGTACATCTTTGTTCTTACAAATGTAAAATCACTGTGAGTGTTATTAATGTGCCTTATAAACTATTAGCTGTAAAGAAGTCATTTCTGTGCCTAGGGTCTTGCATAAGGTTAGGCATATAATATACACTTGAAAATTATGTTGTGTTAAAAAATGCCCTAAATTGGTAAACATACTTCACCTATCTAAAAAGCAGATTTAAATCTTTTTAAAAATAAGTTTAAGGCCGGGCGCACGCCTGTAATCCTAGCACTCTGGGAGGATGGAGCAGGAGGATCGCTCAAGGTCGTGAATTCAAGACCATCCTGAGCAAGAGCGAGACCCTTTCTCTACTAAAAAAATAGAAATTAGCTGGACAACTAAAAATATATAGAAAAAATTAGCTTGGCATAGTGTCACATGCCTTGTAGTCCCTGCTACT